GGGCCTTCACTGAGTCTGGTACTCGTGATTGTGGCTGGGTAAACTTTGGTTTTTGTCAGTGAATGCGTGTTCATTTCCCCTAGCCCTAACCCGGTTTTTGACAAAGTATTTGATTGTTCATTGCCCCTATCATTCACGTGACTTAGAATTCATCGCATCGTAACTTTTCCTCTATTCCCTTCGATGTCGCCAACGTCATTTATAATGGCGTCAACCAAGTTAGCGCTTCTCCTGGTGTCAACCAAGTGAGCGCTTCTCCTGGTGTCAACCAAGTGAGTGCTTCTGCTGGTGTCAACCAAGTGAGTGCTTCTGCTGGTGTCAACCAAGTGAGTGCTTCTCCTGGTGTCAACCAAGTGAGTGCTTCTCCTAGTGTCAACCAATTGAGTGCTTCTCCTGGTGTTAACCAAGTGAGTGCTTCTCCTGGTGTCAACCAAGTGTGTGCTTTTCCTGGTGTCAACCAAGTGAGCGCTTCTCCTGGTGTCAACCAAGTGAGCGCTTCTCCTGGTGTCAACCAAGTGAGCGCTTCTCCTGACGTCAACCAAGTGAGTGCTTCTCCTGGTGTCAACCAAGTGAGCGCTTCTCCTGACGTCAACCAAGTGAGTGCTTCTCCTGGTGTCAACCAAGTGAGTGCTTCTCCTGGCGTCAACCAAGCGAGTGCTTCTCCTGCCGTCAACCAAGTGAGTGCTTCTTCTTCAAACTATCTGCTACAAATTGCTGACATGCTGTGGTTGTATAAGTTATTCCGTGGCATATGGTAAGCCTAAAAAAGCATATTTATTCTCTCAAGCTCTTTCTTTCTTCCTCCCTCTTTCTCTATTATCCTCTATATTAGTCTACATGATTTTATATTGAGACAGGAGCAGTGGTGTAGTTAGGGTTGATGCCACCAGGGCGGAATAAGCTTTTTGCCACCCTCTTCCACGAAAAATCTTAAGTTTTTTGCCACCCCCCTCCACAAAAAATCTTACGTTTGCCAAACCCCCCCCCCCCCAATCACTATTAAAAAAAACGTGTCATCCGGGGCGGACCAGCCCCCTTCCACACCCACCTTCATAAGTGACTGGAATGGAGAATGAGATGCGTTAATTGTGGTTGAACTCTAAGTGCGCGCGCACCAATACAATTCAGATTATGTGTGTTGCACTCACACAGGGTTGGACTGGGACACCGGGGCATCAGTTGCCACCAAAGCCGATGATGTTAGAGCCGCTTGTACATTACAACAAAAATAAAATAATAATAATAAATTAATTACAAACAACAAAACTCTGGTGTATCAAATAAAAATTTCTCATAAGACTTATAATTTGGACTTTGGACACTCCAGTCCATCAGTGCAACCAGCCCGTGCAAATGCACAGTATGTGAAAAGCCCACCTTCGAAGTGTCAAAGTAAACAATATGAGAATGGCTGAAATATTAATAATTAAAATCAATGAAGAATCTAACTTATGGGAGGTTCCTGTAAACATGCGAATCATTTGCACAATATACACGCTGACAATATCTACATTTTTTGCTAGGAACAATAAGATTTTCACTGAAACAATAAGAATGAATCAATGCACTAATAAACATTTAAAATATTTTTCTTTGAGCTTCAAAATTAAAAATTGCTTTGCACTTTGACTTTGATTGCTACAATTTTAAATTTTCATTGTGTGATGATGCAAAATGGAGGTAAAGCAGGGTAGTATTAGTATTAATAGGCCTACTATTAATACATTTGATTATTTTAAGCTACGTGAACTTTCAATTTTTAGGGAGAAGAGTGTGAAAAAGATAATTATGAAATAATAATGAGGAAAATAAGAACTAGTAGCCTTTTTGAAATAGATTTGAAATATGTATGTTCACAACATTTTTTTTAAAACAATGAGTTATGTCCCTGTACCACCGCTAGATGGCATCGCTTGTCGCTGAACGATGATGAGATGATTGCGTTGATGACGGCAGCGATAATTACTTCCTTTCTGCATCTTACACTGGGCATTGATGATTTTTATCGAAATCGTCAACCCAGGAGAGTGCTTTAGTTAGCAGTATTTATTTATAAGGTAAGTTTTAATCAGTTATTAAAATAATGACCCTATGAGTATATTCGTAAATCGACGACAGTGTCGATAACAGCGCGATAACAATAGACATCCATAGAAGTAGTACAGTACAGTAAATGTAGGTAGGTAGTACTAGTATTATGATTATGATTTCAGTAGCTTTTTTTGAGTGGTCGGCTTGGATAAGATTGAATTTTACGTCTGAACTAAAAATATAGATACAATTTTCAGGATACTGGTGTTTGTATCAATTTGAAGAATAACTATAGATAAGACTTTCATATTCGATGTTTATCCGTACCGGTAGCATCTTATGTCAAAATACAGAGTGGAAGATAAAAATAGAGAACTAAGGGAATTTACTCTGAAATAAAAAGAAATATTTTTAACCATCGGTTCTTATTCTTGGTAAAAAGAGAAAGTTGTTAAATTTTGTTTTAATAATATACTTGATGCTTTAACTTTAAGTTACGGTGAAAAGATTTTTTCTGGAAGTTTGGGGGTTGGGAACCTGGGGGGGATCCCCCCTCCCCCCAACCAAAAATGGTTGGTGAAAATTGACAGAAAAGACCCGTTATGGACATAGAAAAACCTTACGCTGTGACCGCTGTGTTTATCAGGAATCGCAGGTGAAAAATCAACAGTAAAAGTAAAGTAGAAAAGTACCACATTTTTTTTTAGCATGGTAATTTATTAATACTTTCTGAGAATGAACATGTTACATGTCACTTTTTCAATATTTTCTTTAAAGCAATTAATTAATTGTCAGTAATTAACTTACTACTAACAATTGACCTGTTGTCGTTAAAAAATACAAAAGAAATCGACTCAACCGACGACGTATATCAGAAATATAAAGGACCAAGGAATTGTAATTATTAATTTTAAAATCATGACACACTAATATTTCTGAGATGAATAGATAGCTTTCAGAACATCAGGATTTTTTAAATAATAATATCTTAAATATAAAACTTGTCACATGAATCACTGAAATTTTATTTGACAACCAGCATATGTTTTAATGTATCGACTTTCAGTTGCAATTTATCTACATGTTTTTTAATCAGAGAATAGACTCTAATAGTGGAACCATTTATCCCTGTCTAGGGAAAATTATTCAGTTCACTGGAAAACGCCACCGGCCGGGATATTTCCTGAGCTTTTAGGGATGCCGGGTCGGGTGATGCCAACATAGGGACTGCCCCAGTTAAACCGGGATGTCTGGTCACCGTATTTAAGTTATGGGCTCCACTCTAAGCTTAGCTGATTATTTGCCTCCTAACTTGATGATAGGTATAGTTGAGTTGACTTATCAGTTACTTATGTGTAGAATTATTCTGCAGTGAGTAATTTTATAAAAATTCACTAAATAAATATAATATTTGGACACAATTTAATTATAACTTCCAAATCAAATCAAAATAACTAGTGACAAGTTGGCCCTGACAGTTTTGCCTTTTTCAAAAGGGCCCCTGTCAATATGGCCCCAACGAAAGGGTCCCTATTAATACGGCCCCATTGAAAAGGGCCCTAGACAATAGGGCAAACGTACAAAAGGGCTCCCGACAATAGGACTACAAGCAAAAGGACTATTACAGCTGTACAAATTGTGTACTAAAGTTATTTCTTACAAATTTTGAGTTTATTTTTGGATTGATGTAATTCTTTGGCTTGGAAACTGCTCAGAGGAAATCGCATTGTGAAACAGACTGGCTTTAATGTACTTGAATGGTTTCTTGCTAATATCCATTAAGGTATGAATCTGTCCTTAAAGCATCTCAGGCTCCTGAAGGAGGTGAGTCTAATAAAGTGTGACATTTTGAGAGTGGTATTGATTATGTGTGTGTGATGTCAGTCATGGTTTCCTTCTCCTTATTTTTTCATTTAAAAAAAATGCCCCTCAAAATTAATAGTGATGTTTAACTTTCTGTTTAAGAAAAGCATATAACTTAAAGAAGGCTTGTCTTAAATAAAAAATGTATGAACTTCCAATTGAATAAATCTTATTTTTAGTTAAATGTTTTTATATTTTATATTTCTTTTGAAATTATTGAAGAAAAAAAAATATTATTTTATCTAACATTATTAACTTGGGTAGTTTTCCTCAACACACCTCCTCCATTGACAGAGATGATAAAATTTCTCCCTCACCCTCTCTTCGCTACGACTACGGTACATTTTCCCCACAATTTTAAATTTTATAATACTACTTTGTGAACATATAAATTCAGAGATGCACAATCGTTTATTTAAATATAACCTATTTAATGTAATGACGTGTCGGGTAATAGTTTCTAATTAAAAAACAATTTATTATGAACATCTGTTTTCTTCATCAATTATCCTATTTAATAATAGTAGCATAGCTATCACCTTAATAATTCATATTAATAATAAACAGCATTTTTTGCAATAATCAATACAAAAGTATGTAATTATTCAAGCCATTAACGAAACTGAAACCATAACACATCATAATTTTGTCAACTTGACCATAGATTCATATGCTAGGCTTATGCCTTAACTGAGTAGGCTCATACTAATGATAGATACATTTGCATTTTAATAATAATAATTTTGACCCAGGTCTACAACTGCATTGATTATTATTAAAAATTAAATTTATTTTATAATTTGAGAAAAGTTGTATAATCAATTAATCCATTATTTTGAGCAACCCCTAACCAGTGAGTGGCAGTGAGACTCTACCCAGTATGTGTTCATGATATTTTTCCAGCTCATGACCCATTAAATGATAAATCAGTTGAGTTGCTAATATTAGAACATATTCTGTGTATAAAGGTAGGAATAAAACAAAGTATACATTTGTAGCCCTAATCCACCAAAGTTCCATGTTAAATTATTGTGATCTTAGCTTCTACTATTAAGCTTTTTTTGTCCTCAGAGATGGACTCCTATGCAGCTCTTCTTGATACCCAGATGCAAGGCAACTCTAATGGTCTGACAGATTATCAAGCACAAGCAAGTTTCCCTCAATTCTCCAGTAATACAAATGTTAACAGCTCTTATGGGAACCTTCCTGGTCTCAACACATCATTCCCCAACAGCTCCACGCATGGCAGCACCATGAACATCACCACCTACAATACTTCCAATGGACAGCAGTTGGCCTATGGCAGCATATCATCCAATTCCTCATCATCGTTTGTCATGCCATATGACCCACCTTCCATACAGCAAAGCTCAACTTCAGTGCAAGTAGCAGCTGCCCAGCCTCAACATCTAACCTCTAATAAAGCCATTCATTCCTGTAATTATTGTGGACTTGTCCTGTCATCCGCCAATGCACTCATGGAACACAAGAGGATTCACACCGGTGATAGACCATTCTCCTGTCATATTTGTAATAAGAGGTTTACACAAAAGGCTCATCTGAATATACACAAGCGAACCCATACTGGAGAGAAGCCATACGCATGTCATATTTGTCACAAAAGATTTGCTCAATCATCTCACCTCAGTAGCCACAAACGCATTCATACAGGTACTAAAAAAATTCTAAGAAGATAAGTAATTAGTTATAGTGGAACAATAATTATAATTATGTACTGTAAAGTTTTAATAGATCTGTAATACAAATATTTTGATCAATGGAAATATTTAATGTGGTTCGTGCAGTTTAAGATTTTAAATGATGGCTGACTCAAGTGGTCACTATTATTTACAATAATCAGCCTCGACCTTCTGATAGTTAGACATAAATTCTTTGCCAGTTTTACTGATTTATCAGCTTTTGAAAAGAGCCTGTGCCATTGATTTGGTTGAGCTGTGATAATTCTTCAATTAAAAAAAAAAGCTACTAAGCTAATATACAAAATTTCTCTCTTCTAATGGAACAAAATTATGACATTAACGGACTTTTGATGACCGTTAATTAATAATATTTATACATATTAATATTTACCTGGAATGTGGAAATTGTTTTTAATTGACCTCTCTTTTGTTTGCTTGTGATTTTTTAAATCAACACAGAGAAAAGCTCTGTAGCAAAAAGTAAAAAGGAATTCTTGTAATAGAATATAAGAGCAGTTTATCACAAATATAACTGTTGAATACCTTATTTAGATTTGATCGCTTCATTTGGCATTTTTAAAACTGTAACATGTTAGCATTATTTATATAGTTCTGAAATTTTGTACAAGCATGGAGAAGGCAGCTTTCTAAATTTGGGCAAAGTAAAGTTATTTGAAGATAATACATTTCAAGTGGCATAGGAATCTCTAAAATGAGATAAAACATAGTCTTGACACCCAGTGGGGTATTATTTAATTGAGTTATTTTTCCGTTTTCTTTGAGAGTTTTAAAAGCTCTATTTGTTATCATATTATTCCCCTGCAGGTGAGAAGCCATTTGTTTGTGGAATATGTCATATTGGTTTTACTCAAAAACAACGCTTGGATGCACATCTTAAAAAACACCTGGAAAGGCCTGGACAAGAAATTGTTGTCAGGCAAAGGACGGTGATGTCAACGTCACATGCTGAGCCTTCTTACAGACCAAAGTATTTTTAAAAAATGCATTTATTTAATAGGCTCATTTTTGAATTAGTCATCCATAACATAAAAAGGATTTTTATTTACATAAAAAGTTGTTGAAAAATGTCTAAAGTTGTGATAATATATATTTTTTTAAAAATTATGTATTTTTAAAAATATTTTTGATTCATTAATTCTTTACAAAAACAACTATATTTCTCAAATGAAAATCAATGAATTACTTTTTTTTTTCAGTCTACCTGTAAATGATGACAGTTCTTTCATGCAAATGATTGGTCATGGAATGCCATATGTTAAACAAGAGACAATAGTCAGACAAGAGACTATGGCCAACAGCTCAACAAAGTCAAACAATTTACATACCGGTACAGGAATAACAACCAACAACACTTATCAACCTGATGATTCTTCTCATCTCAAGGAAATGAAAAAAGAAAGCAGTGATGATGATGAAGAGGCTGAGGAAAGCAAAATGGATCCAGATAAAAGTCCTAAAATCACTGCTCCAAGTTTTTCTTCCGAGGGAATGTTTCTGCATCCATCAGGCTACGTGGCCTATGGAGGAGTCGCAGATAACGAGGAGTCTAATGATACAACCTCCTCTTTGACACCATTAGATTCTTCCATTCAACGAGTGGGCATGACATCTAGTGCTAGTCATAGACGTAAGCCATCTGTTGTTAGAAAACATTGCAGTGAATCTCCAGTCAAAGAAGCAGTCGATGGTTGCCTGCCCCTCGGAGGTAACAGTGTGACAGAACAACATAAACTGACTGCTTCCAATATCAAAACCAGTGCTCACGGTGCTAACTCCGAAGTTGATAACTCAGCAACCGATGTCTTCAATGAAATAGGTGAAGTAATGGTTAACAAAAATGATCCTGCCTTCCTAGAAACAAACCTTGCCAAAACAAACGCACAAGCGGCTCTGTCTAAAAATATCACTCACAATAATCAAAGTACTGTAGAGACCAGGTCGCAGGGTCGCAGAGGTATCAATCAGACGGTGTTTGGGTTTCAAACAGAAACAGTGAATGGAGAAAAAGTAGTTCAGAATAATCACCAAGAAGCCCTGACTTTTTCTGGGCACAGCAGCTCAGGGAATTCGGGGCTTGTCAAGGTAAATAATCGAATATCACTTGTAAACTTTACAGCTGAAGAGCTTGTCTCTCACCTCATGAAAAGAGATGACGTACACAAGTGTACATTCTGCTGCCTTATCTTTCAAGATGCCGCCATGTACCATATTCACCGCAACATGCATGACAAATCAGACATCCGCAAGTGCAACATGTGTGGGAAGTTACTCCAAGATAAATATGACTTCACTGCCCATTTTCTAAGCATGCACCAGAGCTAGAAATGAAATAACGTACTCAATAGCCCAAAACTATTATGTTTGTGGGAGTGTTACCTTCTTACCTGTATTTCCTGACATTTTTATGAACATCTGAGGTTTTTTGCAAGTCATTTAATAGTCTTGTCTTACTGAGAACAGACACAAAAACTGATGGGCCAAACTTTAATTTAATTAAGATTATATTTAAAAAATAGATGTGAAATTTATACTAACAGGTACTACGGTAAATGTATTGCAAATGAAGATACAGGCATGCTCGTCCATCAACTTGATGAGGAGCGATCTAGTCATCCCTGCATTACTGAGGCTGTTTCTACTATTTGGTGTGCAGATGGCTGGTTTAGATTTATATACACAGATACAGTATGATCAACATCAATAACACCACATTCCATGGACAGCTCTAACATACACCACCACATCATTCCAATTCTAAAATGCTTTACAACATTAGAGGATATTTCTTAGAGATTTCCTTTCCATAGTATTATTTGTATTTAAAAAATGGTTTGGTTTTTTAAAGGTGAATTGCACAAGCAATGACAATAATTGTATGAGAAAATTGTGCTTAGCAAATATCATGTACCCTTCACTGGCAACAAGTGACTTCTGGCATCTACTTGATAGATGTGTTGTTCCCCTTATTACTACACGAAGGCCCTAAGTGCTTTGTTTTTGAGAAAGTTTCATTCCTTCCATGTCAGTCTATCAAGCAATTTTCACAACATAATTTAATATTAAAATGCAGATACAGATGGATGCATTTTTTTCTATACTATTATAATTTTAAATGATTACAATATTACAAGACAAGCTGCAATTCCAAAGTTATTTGTGGTTAGTTTTAGGTGTCATTTTGTAAGTTATAATTCTATATGATTACAGGACAAGTTGATATCCCAAAGTTATTTGTCGTTCGTTTTAGCTGTCATTTTGTAAGTTATAATTCTATATGATTACAGGACAGGTTGATATCCCAAAGTTATTTGTGGTTAGTTTTAGCTGTCATTTTATTAATTATAATTATATATGATTACAGGACAGGTTGATATCACAAGGTTATTTAACCCCAAAGAACTAACCCTTGTTTTATTGGCCTCATTTTAGCCATAAAAGAGAATCAGTTTAAAACCATCATTTGAAAATAAGACTTTGCTATAAATATATGTTTAGTGTTAGTTCTTATATATCTAACTTATATATGAATATGTGCTAGTAGAGCTTTGTATTTCCTCTATTGTATGGGCTAGTTAATTTTGAAAAATGTGATCAGTAATGGCAACCATTTAGAGATAAATACATGCAACTTGTTGATACTGTAAAACTAGAAAGAGAAATGCCCTCCTACATTAGGTTGAAATACAAGTTTAGTGTTAACGTAGTAAGAAATCTAGAGTGCTTTTAAAGTTCATTTATACCTTAGGACTGTTATTTATTTCTAACTTCTTTATTAAGCACAGTGATTATAGAAGATAGACAAACAATTATGCCTTAAACACAATCAACACAAATTGAAATATGTTAATAATGTATATATATAATGTATGAAAAATTCACTGCATCCGAATATCTTGTAGAATTAAGATAGATGAATAGAACTCTAAAATAGATCGTTACAATTTACTTAAATTTTTCTTGGCTGTCTAGTTTCTGCATTTTAAGATTTTCACAGTTTTATATTTTTTTTAAAGTTATGTTGGAGCTAACAGATTAATAACATTTTAAAATAACTATAAATAAAATTCTTTCCCTTGCTGGAAATACAACATATACCTACAGAGTATATGACTAATTTTCTGTTTGTATTGAAATGCCAACGTTACTTTTTTTTCAAGGAGCAATGTGTTTGAATGAAACAATTTAAAAAGAAACATGTTATTCAAATCTTTCATGGGCATTTATTTTATTTATATCCTAAAGTTTATTTTAAAGTCCCTTGATTTTTTTTACAATCGGCCTATTTGGCATTATTTTATTTTCAAAAATAGAGAATTGTGCTGTGTGTGTTGAATCAAGGCAATTAGGTTTTTTGCCTTATTGACAAACCTTTTTACTTTTGAAGGTATGTCTGTAGTTTTCTGTCAATATAAGACTAGGGGATGTTTTATATAGGGTGACAATCTTGACACAATCTAAATATCTAGTTAAATAAAAATACTTTTTTTTCAAAATATGTATTTTAACATTGGGAACTGAGCTGATCTGTGAAGGCATTCCCTCTTGATTTATTGTTGACTAAAATGTTATAAATGTAAGGAAACATAATATTATCTACTGTATTTATATTTTTTTTTATTAACACACACATGTGTTGCATCTGGAATGGAGTTTACACCTTGTGTTCATCATGTGATAAAGTGAGGGCTTTCAATATTTTGTTTCCCCCTTGTTTTGGAGAATTTACCTGAGTTTTTAAAATGAAAATGTTTTTGACTTTTGTTATAATTGATTTATGCAGACAATCACATTATAATGCACGAGAACTTAATCAGTTTTCATATTTTTGTCAGAATTATATTTTATTAATCATAATCAATAGTCCTTTCATTTTTTAAAATAATTATTATTATTTCACTGTTACTATCTACAGATTATTCGTGACCATAATCCAATCTTTCATAAACAGTGTTTCAAGAAAAGGAATGTAGAAATTGTTGCTAGGTGGTCTTAACAGTACTGGGGAAACCAAGACATTGTGTTAACTTTATAGAATATGTCATACTTAAAGCAAAGAACCAGCATTGATTAGTTTGGCAGGAGTCAAACATTGTCTGGCTTCACTGCTCAGTTAATCATTTATTGCATTTCAGCAATTTATTGATTGGAAATTTTAAATTAAAACTATTGGCCACTACAAAAAGAAACCTGCTGCATTTTCATTAGCATTCAACACTTTTGAAAAAAAAATTCTTTTCTAGTACCACCATGTAAAATTATTAATTCAAATGTTTAAAAATAGCAATGGACGGTTACATTGTATTCTTCCTGTAAGTGAACCTAGATTCAGGTGACCATCAAACATGCTGGTCATTAAAGTATTGTACAAACCTTTAAAAAAAATTACATTTAACCCCTTCAAGCTGATAGGACTTAAATGTTTTTGAAAATACGGCTACTTATAGTAGGTAAAAGAAGTTTGTCAGTTTTACAAATTATTTAATTGATCCATTATCTCCATTCCGTTAGTAGTGCATTCTCAGCTCTACTACTTTTATTATGCAACTGGTGTGTTAAAAATGGTTATGTTCATGATATTCATAGTTTGTTAACAATTCAAGTATTTATTTTATGCAAGATCACTCAAATTTAATAATAATTTCCATGAAGATATAAAACAATAATATAATTTTGTATCAAAGTGTTTTATTTCTTCAATTTTATGGTCCATGTTAATGATACTGGAACCAGAGTGAAAGTGCAATCTGATCTGTTATAATGTAAACAAAGTAATTTTATGCCAATTTATTCAGCTTGTTTATAGTTTTATTAGGAGCATATTCTTTTTTATACTTTGTTCTCTTTGAGTCATTTTTTTTATTGAGTCTAGCACAGGGGTCGGGAACCTATGGCTTGCGAGCCAGATGTGGCTCTATTGATTCCTGCATCTGGCTCGCAGAGAAATGTTTGATTATAAAAAAAATGTGGCATTAATGGTAAGAAATACTCATTATTGATTAGCAACAGCATAATAATGTTATTAAAAAGAATTCAGAGACATAATTATTGCATTTTTAGTCTTGAAATTACACAAATGCTCACATTTTCTTGAATTTTTAGTTTTAAACATAATGTATGGGTCTCACAGAATTATTTTTCAAAATATGTGGTGTCCATGGCTCTCTCAGACAAAAAGGTTCTCGACCCCTGGTCTAGCATGCATAGTTATGGCAATTATTTTATGTAAAAGTCATGTAAAGATAATTTCATGCCATTATCAGTACAGCAACATTATTTCTTGTAAAACTCTTTACATTGATACATAATTTATTGCTATGAAGTTTTGACAGCAAACTTTCACTTCTGCAAAAATATTTTGTTTCACTGTTCAGATTTGATATATACTGTTAATTATTAAAAAAAAATAATTTTGGAAATTAGTAACTTATTGTAATAAATTGGAAATTGAACGTCTATTCATCTATAATATATAGATTCCATTAAAAATGTTCAATTGACCCATGTTTTCTATTGATTCCTGCATTTCTTAAAGCAGTGTTCAGCGGCTGGAGATGCTGCTCTTCGAATTTATTTGACATCATTTTTTTTTAAAAAGTAAATCAATAATTTAATTAATAAAACATTTATTGTTTTAATTATTTTCTGAACTTTCAAGTATCAGAAGCCAAATATCCATTCACCTGATCCATCCCTGACGGCTAAACCCTAAATATATTCTTACCCGGTGTAATTTATAAAGAAGATCTTCATTCAAAAAAAAGTTGTGGACACTCGTCTAAGGTATTACCATTAGAAAATTGATAGTTTACCAAATAGTTATATATCTTTCTTTATTTTTGGAGATGTTTGTGCTTTGATTTTTTTGTTGGATCAGTCCAGAAAATTTCAGATTTTCCATAAATAATTAATTTTTGCTATTGATAACACATCTCCCAATTCCATAACTATTTAACCGCTGTTGTATATTTTAGCGGTTCAAACTTCTTTCTTAAATGGTTTCTCTTAAGAATAATTTTGGCCATGGTGTAAAAAAAAAAAATGTACCAGTATTTTAAAAAAAACTAATTTTCTATTAATCTGAGGACAGACATGTGTCCATGTTTTTCAACCTAGAGGCTCAGCACACCATGATAATACTGCCTGAGGGCAAAAATTACCCCATAAGTCATATTGGAGGCAGAATGATCAATACATTGATCATGGGCCCTCAAAATATAGAAAAAGAAGAAGTCAGTCAAATTTTTGTGGGGAAAGAATCTTAAATTTTTTTGTTATTAGCAAAGACATTTTTTTATATCACTCTATGACCAGACAAACGAGTC